GCTTCGAGGGGGTTGTTCCCGGATAAAAGACGCTGAGACGCGCGAGCGTCGAGGGTCGAAGGAGGAAACTGCGCAGAGCCGCGCGGGGGAGGGAGAGGAAAAAAAGTCGGAGCCAGCACGAAATTAGTCGTAGTCGCACGGCTCGAGAAGCATTAGACGCGCCCCGGGGACCCTCGTCCGCCCGCCCGCGCTCGCGGTCCCGTTTTATTCGATAATTATGCAAATGCCGGAATGATTGTCGGGCAATATGTCCTCGGAATAAAAGTACCGGGCCGGAGCAATTCGGTTATCTTTATGATTTCGGCGAAGGAGAGGAGAGCGGCCTGGGGAGCGGGAAGGGGGAGACCTCGTCAATCCTCGGCGACAAGAGTCAAGCCCTTCATTTGCATCGAAACGCGCTCCCCCTCGGCGCGTTTCACCTTCTTATAGCGCGGGCGCGAACGCGACGACGCACCACCGCGCGTGTCGACGTTGTCTTTCCTCTGCGAGTTTGGCGTCGCGGCGCGGCGCGGCGCGGCGTCGCGCGATGGAGAAAACGCGCTTTGGGCTGAAATTTGAGCTGAAATTGAAATTTGGAGGCGGGGGGATTTTTATTATAATCGCTGGTTTATTTATGTAGCTCCGCAATACCGCGTACATTGTAATGTTCGATAAAATCCGGCCGAGAGTGGCGGATACTTTGTCTCTCCCTCGCGCGTTTCGCGCGATGACTCGACGCACAATCGTTGACAACAGCGCCGAAGACGTCTAATTAACGCGCCGGGAAACGAGCAATCAAGTGGCCGGCGGCGCGGCGATTTCGTCGCACAACCGAATCAATTACGAAAGCCGGCCGGCCGCCGCCGTCGCTCGCGCGACGTATTGTGTGTCGTCGTATATTTATTATTAAAATATATTCCTCGCGCGCGCACCGGCAGGGTGGAGCCTGGCTCGGCCAATGGGCTGTCGTCGCGTGCCTCGGGTCGTTACGGAACCTGCAAATTGATAAGAATGCATCGTCGTGTGCCCTTCGGCCCTTCATTAGCCCTCTCTCGCCCCGTCGGCCGAAGATGTCGGACGGCCTAGTACATTTTTATTCGCACCCAGGGCGATCGCCTTATCGCCCGTGCGCGTTTGCGCCTGCTCCCTCTCTCGTCGCTCTTCCGAAAGCCTTGGAAATTTGTCGATTCTCTAAAATACGGATTCGATTTGTGCGTACAGAGAACACACTCGGTGCTGGTGGTGGCTCCTTGGAGCGCTCGTCGACGAGCTACTTTGAGAAGCCACAAGTAGCTCGGGATCCCTTCGGCAAGAGGGAGGGATTCTTTTCTTCGAGGTGCAAAAATTTTAATGGAGAAAGAAAGCGGCTCTCTCTCTCTCTCTCTCTCTCTCTCTCTCTCCCTCCCTCCCTCTCTCCCTCCCCCTCCCCGTCTCCTTCTCCTCTCTTTCTCTTTGGGGTCTCGATGAGACACTGGCAAGCTGAGGGAAAAAACGAGGGATCAAGATTGACAGGCAGGCAGGAGTGTGAGAAGGGCAGAGTGCGCGATATCGGGTTTTTGGAGAAGCGAGGAACAAAGGGATGAAGGGGGGTCGGGGAGCGGGTTGCGTGTGCGATGACTGAACAAAGTACGACGAAAGTACAATAACAACTATTTATTTATAGGTAATAATGCTGAATTACAATGAATACACTTCTTGCCTCGATACTAGATTGTATAAGTCCGGTCGCGAGATCGGCGTCGCTGCTCGCCGTCGCCGTGACTCGCAGTGGCGACGGCGGTCCCTCCCCATTCCCAACCCCCGCTCTTCTTTCCTGCCGCACGCACGCTGGCCGCTCGCGAAGCGGCTGTCCGCGATTATTCGTGGTCGCTTGTCTCCGAGCGAGAACCGCCGTTCGACGATCGTCCCCGACATCCGTCGTCTGCACCGGGATGTGAAATGAAGCGCGATACGCGGAAACGATGGGACTGCTTCTCTCCTTCTCTCCGGTTCTGCTACCGTAGGTTTGTGCGCGCCGTCGACGACGACGACGGCGTAGCCTGGTCTCGCGTGAAAAATCGCGGATCGAGAGCGCGAGGCGGACTGATCGCGCGCGGTCGCGCCTTCAGTCTCGAGGTCGAAAAGCTTAATTTGTACTATCTGACGTCGGTGAGGATTCCACACACGTCGCGATCGTCGTCGCGTTGGCCAATCTCGAGCCAAACTTCTCTCTCTTTCCCCCGGCGGTTCTCGCAAGGCGAGAGGAGGACGCGCGTTTCCTCTCGGCGTCCGCGCTCTGCGTGCGCTCTCACTCACACTCTCTCTCTCTCTCTCTCTCTCTCTCTCTCTCTCTCTCTCTCTCTCTCTCTCTCTCTCCCTCCCTCCCTCCCTCCCTCCCTCCCTTTCTCTCTCTCTCTCTCTCTCTCTCTCTCTCTCTCTCTCGCCGATCACCCTTCTCTGCTCTCGGCGCCCCGCTCTCTTATCTGCCCTTTTATCCCACCCCCTCCCAATTACCCTCCGTGTCAATCGGTAGCGGCGATGGCAAATACGGATCAGCTATCGGTGGTTAAATTCTCGTTTCTCTACGTTTAGCATCGTCTTAACGGGCTTTAGCTGGTACGATACTAGACACTATGATTATGTGAACTTTACAACACAAGAACCTTACGGCAAAAGACTTTGTACATGGATCTTAAATACGGGGGACCACCCGACCCCCGGGGAAATATCGTCCTCGGCGCTTGCTCCTTCAGCCCCGCGTCGGCGTGGCCGCTCGCCACGCACGCAGGATCCCTCGCGAAGCCTCGTCCTCGTCTCTCTCGTGCTTCTCCCGCGCTTGCAACGCGGTGTATACTTCTCTCTCTCTCTCTCTCTCTTTTCTCTCTCTCTCTCTCTCTCTCTCTCTCTCTCTCTCTCTCTCTCTCTCTCTCTCTCGCGATTTTCTTCCTGTCGCGCACCGTGCACCGAGGGATATTTCGCCGGAGTCTCTCTCGGGTGGTCAACGCAAACGCGGGACACACGCAATATGGATTAGACTTACTTGTTTCGGTAGTAACTAAGTTATTTATATAAATAAGGTGTTATACGATTTAAGACGCTAGGAGAGAATCCTCCGTTGTTTCCGCTCTCGTCGTCATTCTCTCGATCTCTCTCTCTCTCTCTCTCTCTCTCTCTCTCTCTCTCTCTCTCTCTCTCTCTCTCTCTCTCTCTCGCACGCGCTCACAGACACACACACACACACATGCATTCTCTCTCTCTCTCTCTCTCTCTCTCTCTCTGTCTCTCTCTCTCTCTCTCTCTCTCTCCCGCTCTCACGCTCTCACGCTGTTTCTCTCTCACACTCGTTCTCATTTTCTCCCGACCTTTCTCTCCCTCGCAATCTTCCAATATCTCAAGCGCTCCATCTTTTCTCCCTTCGCACTGTCGCTGGCTCGCTCGCACTCGCTCGTCGCGTCATTCTTTCTCTCTCTCCCTTTCTCTCGCTCTTTTTTTTTCTTTTGCTATGATACAGCGCTCGAGTCGCGGCTCTGATCCTCGCCCCGAGGCCGGAACCCAGAGGAGAGTCGTCCCGTGTTGTGTATCGTGTACTACCTCTGATTCCGCTTCGGGGGCATTTTACAAAAAAAGGCGGCGCATTCTCGGCGCTGCGATGCGAAGCACGCACCGCGCCTTCGTCCGACGAGAGAACGGCGTTTTCGGCGCTGTCGTCGCGATCCGTTCCGTCTCGACCGGGTCCGACGCGGCACGTCGTCGCCGCCGCCGCCGCCGCCGGACGTCGTCGAGCGGCTCGCGCTCGCGACGAGGGCCCGCGACTCGACATTCGTTTCTTCCGCAGCTTGGCGATCGGGCCGGCCCGCGTGGCCGCGCGCGCGCGGCGACGTGTAATAATATTAATAATGATAATAATACTCGAAATCGCGGCGCGCGCCTCGCGATGCGCCGCGCGGCCACGTGGCGCGGCCCGATCGCCGGAATCTTACAAACGATTAGCTAATTAACTCGCTCGATAATTAGGAGATAGGTACCTCTAGGAACGCATGCACGCGCGCACGCACTCTCCAGCAGTCTTTAGAAATATGCCTCTCTTCTTTCTCTCCCGTTACTCTTGCTTCTTGTCTCTTTCTCTCTCGCTCTCTTTGTCTCTCTCTTTCCCTGTCTTCGCTATCTCGGTATCCGTGTCCGTGTTTCCTTCTGCGTGTGTACGTTCTGTGTGTGTGGGGATGTAATGAGTGTGTGTGTGCAGCCTCCCCTGCCCCCCACTGAAGCCCTCTCTCGGTTTCCCCCACTGTCCGCTCGTCTACGATCCCGCGCGATCGTCTCGGTACACGCGATTTCGATCAATCATCATTCACGGGTAATTATCGATGGTACGTAACATGTAAAGAATCTTTCTCTCTCTCTCTCTCTCTCTCTCTCTCTCTCTCTCTCTCTCTCTCTCTCTCTCTCTCTCTCTCTTCGTTTCGTCGTCATCGTCGTCGAACGAACGACGCGACTCGCACGCTCGCCGCGCACGCGAAGCGGCGAAACGCGCGGCGCAAATATCCATCGCGTCGCTGATATGTCGTGTGCGACCGGTCCGCAAGTGCAAGTGGTGTCGAGAGTCCCGCCGGACCGATCCTCTCGACTGCCGAGGGCCCCGCTCCGTGCTCCGCCGATCGCCGAAACGAGGTCAGCCCCTCGCGCCGAGCTCGCGTCGCGTCGCGCGAAATCGCGCCTAATCGCTCTCTCTCTCTCACTCTCTCGCTCTCTCTCTCTCTCTCTCCCTCTCTCTCTCTCTCTCTCTCTCTCTCCCTCCCTCCCTCCCTCCCTCTCTCTCTCTCTTCCTCGTTCGCTCTCGCGCGCGCGGTTGTGTCCGGGGTTGACAAACCAGAAAAGAAACCAGAAAAGAAACGCGTCGCGTTTGCCGTCCGCGCGATATATATATTTATATATATGTATAAGATACTCCCTCCTTCCCTCCCTCCTCCCCCTTCTCTCACGCTCTCTTTCTCTGTGTGTGTCTCTCTCTCTCTCTCTCTCTCTCTCTCTCTCTCTCTCTCTCTCTATCTATCTATCTATCTATCTCTCTGTTTCACGTCATTCGCGCGCGCATTCATTCGCATTGTCATTCGCCGACCTGTGTGAGTCCCCGCGGACACTCGCGCGAGTCCAGTCGTCACTCGGAGCTACGAGAGTCGTCCTCGTCGGCCGATCCGTGCGTCCCTCCACCCCCGTCATCTACCGGGTGCGATCGAGCATCATCTCTCGTGACGATAGTTGCTTGAATCCGCAGATTCTCGTCGTTTCTCGTTGTGTGTAGGTCCGGCTCCTCGCATTCGAGTCGCGCCCTCTTCGCCCGATCGATCACTCGCTCCGGCTGTTCGCTGCACGCTCCGCGTGCCCTCGCCTGCCCTCGTCCGGCCTCTTCTAGGTCGCGCTCGTGAACAGTACGGAGTTCTTGTAGTAACCCGTCCGCGATTCTGGAACAGAAAAGCGATTCGCACTCTGGGAGTCTGCGCTCGACACTGCTTTACAGCCGCGAGTCGCGTCGCCCGGTTGACTCGACTACGCGACCGCCGCCGACGGGGTGAGAGGACCTTGCGCTCCTCGACGGGCGCGTGAGAGAGAAAGCGGGACAGAGAGAAAGAGAGAGGGAGAGAGGGAGGGAGAGAGAGAGAGAGAGAGAGAGAGAGAGAGAGAGAGAGAGAGAAAGAGAGAGAGGCAGTGTTTCGCGGATGAAGATGCGTGCGGGAGATGAATGGTCGTGGGCGTAATTCCGCTACGGACGCCGGAGATACGCTCTCTCGGTGGCTGCGCGGTGGCGATTCGTGGAGCTGGACCAGCTGGGTCATTCCAATGATCGTTCGTCCGGGAGAGGCGCCGCTCACTAATTATCGTTGCCTCTCGAGACGTAGATGAACGCGAGAGGGCCGCGAGGTGGATGAAGAGACGGACGAATCGAATGGAGAAAAAGGGTGAAAGGGCGGCGGCGGGTGTACGGACCGGGAAGGGAATGGGGATAAGGGCAGAAAAAGAGAGAGAGAGAGAGAGAGAGAGAGAGAGAGAGAGAGAGAGAGAGAGAGAGAGACAGAGACGCGCGCGCGCGCGCGCGAGCGTCCGTAAATACGAGAGCGGCCGAGTCATCGGCCTTAGCGCGCTCCTTTGTGATCCGAGCCGCCACTCTACTTTTTATCGAACTGTCGCTTATGATTGAAAATCACTATACGTTAATAGTCCGCGTGATTCGGTTTACTCGTCTCTCCGCGCCCACTATCGTCCCGGACCTCTTCAATCTACCCGTTCCGGCCCTTTCACGGCGCGTCACTTTGTTTGATTCAACACATGCACGCTTATCATTATCTTCTCTCGTAGCTCGCCCGTCAAGCGGTCAATTGAGAAAGAGAGAGAGAGAGAGAGAGAGAGAGAGAGAGAGAGGAAGGGAGGGGGAGGAATAATTCGCGACGAGAAAGCTTCGCGTTTGCGAATCGACGCACGCACCAACGTCTGCCTCTCGACTCTAATTTGCCTCCTCCTTCTCGAAATCGCGATTCCGCCTCTGAGCGCGTCAGTCTCCTTTGTCGAGGTTGTTTGTGCGACGTTCGACAGCGCGCGACGATGGTGTCGCGTTGATCGCCGGTGCAATCGTTGTTTCACCGGGGGGGGGAGGGGGGCGCGTCGCCGCGCTCGTCCCGCCGCGACGTCGAAACCGCGAGCAAAAGTTGGCAGCCGCGATAAAAAGCGCGCGGCCGAAATTCGGGGAGTTGATTTTGCAAGGATGCTGCCAATTAAGAGCCGACTTGTTAATTCCTTTCGAGAGCCCCCGGGAGAGCGGGCGGGCGAAAAACGATTATTTACGTGCAACGTCACGCCGGCCGGGGGCCTTGGAGCATCGAAATCGCGCCACGGATATAGTTTTTGCGCGAGTTGGAAACTTCCTTCGGACAAGTTTCCACGAGGAGCGAGGCCAAGTTTCGAATATGCCGGGGCTATGCCGCTGACGCCGCTGCAAGAACCGCCTCGCCCACCCCTCTCGGGACGCGACCGCCCCTCAAGAGTTTCTAATTAAAGATCCGAACTTTATTCCGTACGGCAAGAAATCGCGCTCGACGCGCACTGCACGAGAACCGACGGCGCGCGCTCTCTCCGAATGGAAGGGACGAGAGAATGAGAGAATGAGAGAATGAGAGACAGACAGACAGACAGACAGACAGACAGAGAGAGAGTGGGGGGAAGAGAAGGGGCAGGAGTGAATCGTTCCGAGGGTGTCGCGACGAAACTCGGCGAGCTATCGGTCGGGAGACAATGACGGGGAACACGGCAAGACACCTGGGCGATTTCAAATTCTGCGCAGCGTGCGCACTCGCGACAGCGTGTACTTGGAGTTTCTATTGAACGCACCTTGAAGAGGAGACTTGACTTGGTCCCTCTCGGCCGCTTGGTGCTGCCGCGATTTTCTCTCCAGCTCGAGTTCCTGCACCAGCGATTCTGCGACAGAAAAACATAGGAAAAATTCAGAGGGCTGAGTAATGCGCCGCGCGATAATGTGCCACTCACACACACACACACACACACACAATATGGCTTATGTAACGCTGGATGTCGGCGCAAGACGCGCGCGCGATACAGTCTCGCCAGCGCGTTCTCGACTTAAGATTAATATCGGCGTTCTCGGGTAACGCGCTCCGCTGCCCTCGACGTCGAAGGAATCGCCTCGAGGTGAGGTCCGTCGGAACTCGCAACGCGCGCGCGGGAACCCGCGCGCGGATTCGACGAGGCGTGAAGCACGCGCGCGCGAAGGATGAAACGGAGCAGTAATTAGTGCAAAACCAGCGCTACCGTCAGTCGCGCGCGAAAAGGGGGATGGAAAAGGGACGAGCGGGATAACGGGCGAAGGCAGGCGTGAAAAGGCCGCGGGTTTGCTCACTGAATTTCGCAAGGATTAGGGTGAAAACTGGAAAATGTCCCTTTAATGATATCGCGCCGAATTAACCGGCCACATGCGTCCCTCCGCGCCGCTCCCCAACCTCCCTCGCCTGTCCCTTCGAGCGATTTATGCAGCGGCGTTCTTCTCTTCTCGCGTTCTTCCTTCTCCTATCTTCCCCCCTCCCCCCCCCCGCCGCCCCCCTCCTCTCTCTTACTTTCCCACAGTAGAATGCAACGAAATTGCCGGATTTTTCATTTGGAAGAGCGACCGCGCTCTCGTAAGAATTCCGGCGATAATTAACATTCGACTCGTCCGCCGACCGGCGGCCCCTCTAACGATCTTCGGGCGTCCAACTGACAGTCGAACGGAATGGAAGATTCAGAGACCGCAGAGTGTCGGACTGACGGCAGGGCCGAGTGCGAAGAAATCTCGCGTCCGTGGCTTAATTACATACCCGACGGGGGAAAGGGAACTGTGTTCGTAATTCGAGAGAGAGAGAGAGAGAGAGAGAGAGAGAGAGAGAGAGAGAGAAGGATTAAGCAGCGGCGGCGCGGGGTGTCACGTCGCGCGCGATCTGGAGGGACGCGGATCTGATCGGTAAGCGTGAAATGGCGCCTCCTTGGGCAAAGAGCAATGGTAAAATCCAATTGCGAAGCTATTAAGTCCCAGTTAACCGGCGCTCGCGAGAGGAGTCGGCGTCTCTCTCTCTCTCTCTCTCTCTCTCTCTCTCTCTCTCTCCCCCTCTCTCTGTCTCTCCCTCTCTCCTTTCTTTGGTCGTTCCGTCCCGCTCGGTGTGTGTATCGTCGGTGCCGGTGCCGGGGACTAGAGACGGCGGGGCCGAGATTCCATTATGCTTTGAGCAACAATAGCTGAGGGCTGTTTCGTGGCACGTGGGTGTGAATTCGTGCGTTCGTCAGGGCCGTTATATTCCACGATTTTGGGGCACGGAGCAATGTTTGCGTTTCGCTGAGCCAAATTACCTCTCGCGCCCTTATCCGCGCGCGGGGTGTCGCGTCCCTTTGATATCCAAATGACAATTTAACTGCTCCAGATATACAACGCGCGCCCCGCTCTCGTCCGGCCTCGCCGGGCCGGGCCGGGCCGGGCTCGCTCGGTTGGCGGGTTGGCTCGGGAAGTAGAAGAAGAAGAAGAGATAGGTAGGTAGGTAGGTAGGTAGGTAGGTAGATAGGTAGAGGCAGAAGCAGAGATAGACAGGCGGTAGGCAGAAGAGAGAAGAGCAGAATAGAGAGTAGAGCGTAAAGAAGAGAGACGGGGTGGGCACGATTTGAGAAAAGTTTCTCGAGAGTCATTCGAAACGGTCGTGGACGCGCGCGCGCGCGTTCCTCACGCTTTTGCCGCGTCGAGCCGGGATAAAGAGCCGGGAAAAAGTGATTTGATTGATTGTACGCGTCTTTTTTGGGATTCCCCGTCATTTTGTTCCGTTGAAATGGCCGGCGCTGCAATAACGCGCGCGCGCGCGCGCGCGCGTCCATGATCGCGCGGGCCGATCGCCGTAAGAAAATGATGTGCAGCGACGGCTCTCCCGACGACTTGGAAACCCGGATTCGCGATTCCTCGACGCGGGTATCGTTGCGTGCACGGCGTATCGAATGAAGAAAGAAGGGAGCTCGCCGTTCAATCCCGGGGAAGTCCGCGGCCGGAGTATCTCGAGCGTCCAAGAAGAATGAGCCCGCTAATAGTTTCGCTACCGTCTTACACACCCTGACAAATCGTCCGGACAATGAAAACAATTTCAAGCGAGCCTCGTACGGGCCCACGGCCGGGCCCTAAACGGTTGGTATTGTGCCGCCACATCGCGCGCCATATCGGCCGGGCTTTTTGGGGTGGCGACGCCAGGCGAGGAGGGCCCCTAAAAAAGACGTCCGCTGAAAAAGAAGGGCCCCGAGGCTCGCCCCTCTATGACTCCGCATTTATCCGCACGTAATTAACTCCGGCACAATGCGCCGCGAGGAGGCCACCTTGCCTCCGAGTAGAAGAAGAAAACGAACCGAATCGAAACAGAGAACGGCGGCCGAGAAAGAGTGAGTGAGCGAGCGAGCGACTGAGTGAGTGAGTGAGAGAGAGAGAGAGAGAGAGAGACAGAGACAGAGAGAGAGAGAGAGAGAATGCGCGCGAGAGAGGAACGGTCGCGTCTGGAATCCCGCAAGAACTGGAAAAACTCTCTCATTGTTCGTTTCGAGGGCGAGAATACGCTCGCGCGCGTTCGCTCGTACCAACTTTATTATTGCATCGACGTCGCGTCCGGGAGAGTGAGACACAATGAGAGAGAGAGAGAGAGAGAGAGAGAGAGGAGGAGAGAATCTCCCACTGAACGGACCTGTCTCCGACGAGAAGAGAGATTCTTTGCTGCTTCTGCCGCGGCGGTTGCTACACGAGCGCGCGAAAAAGACCAATAATCCGCGATTGATAAACGCCCGCGCGGAGCGCTTTCCGTTCCACGGGAGTTTTTGCGATTTGCCACGCAGCCCTCCTGCGCTTCTCGTCCTCCGCGAGACGACGTCCTTGGGATTTCACCGAGTCCGCCGGCGAGTGGCGCCGGATATCGAAAATAACCGTCAGCGCGATGAGTGCGCTCGACGTGTTTCTTGCGCGAACGGCGAAAGAGGCAATTTGAGTATCGCATCGCGGAGCGGCGGTAATTGGCTGAATGCTCTCTCTCTCTCTCTCTCTTTCTCTCTCTCTCTCTCGCGCGCGCGCGCGTGCTCTCTCGAGTGTTCGAGGGGTTGGCGACATTTCGCCAGTCAGAAAAGGATATACGACGCGCGGGCTGCGCAGGGGAGGGACGCGGCTGAACGCGGGGGCAGCTAGAGGGTTGATTTCGTGTAGCGCGTCGCGTTTTTAATGCTCTGATCTTTATGTAAAGCAGACGAGAGAATCGCTCCTCTCGAAGGGCGGAGGGGAGCAGTAGACGACAGGGGCAGGTGGGGTGGACGGAAGACGCGGGGAGCGGGGTGGGGATAGGCGCTTGAGCGTCAAGCCGAGCGTGAAATTGTATGAATCAAGGAGCCGCACGAAGTAACGCGGAGACACAAAAAGCGGAGGAACCTACCTGGACGATAGAGAGAGAGAGAAAGGGGAGGGGAGAGGAATGAGGGAGGCAGGAGGAGAGAAACGGAGAGGAATGCGGCGATGTTCTTCTTTCTCTCTTTCTCCCTTGCTCGCTTTCGAATCGCGCGACTCTTATAATTTCAAATTTCCGCCGGCTGCGATCTGTCGTCGGCGCGCGCGCGCGTCCTCTCCTCTTGTTTCATCCCTCAACTTGTGCTGTCCCTCCCCGCGCGTTCTTCCTGCGTATCGCAAAATCGCAAGTAGCGCGCTGGGAGGGGGGGGGTGAGAATCTCGTCTCGTCTCGTCTCGTCTCGTCTCGTCTCGTCTCGTCTCGTCTCGTCTGGTCTCGTCTGGTCTCGCTCTTCCGTCGAGAGGGCTCTCTTGGTCGGCTGGAAAGGCGCGGGCACGGGAGGAAGGAAGGGGGGGAGGGGCGCGATACAAACGCGACGTTAATTCGCGGTTCGGTCGACTTGTCGATAAAGTCCCCCGGTCGCGGCCGACGTCGTCAATATCGCTGGGAAAAAGCGTCTATCTAGGGCGATCAATGGAACTCGGTAATTGTTCTTTTTTCCCGGCGCGTAAATCTCTCTCTTCAGTATGCCATTCGCGTCCGGGAGCGCTCCGGTAACGAATTTAATCCCCTCGCAATCCGCGCGCCTTCCGATCGGCGCCCGCGGCGACGCAAAATCAGAAGTCAGGGGCAGGACTGTTTCTCCCTTCCCTTTCCTCTTCTTCTCTCTCTCTCTCTCTTTCTCTCTCTCTCTCTCTGTATGATTTGATTAAACGCAAGATGAGAGAGATGGAGACAGAGGGCCGCAACAAGAGGAAGATGTGGACTTAAATTGCGAAAATTTGAACTGCCGTGGAATGGAAGGAGACTTCCGGGCTCTCCAGCGCGGCTCGCGGAGCGTAAGTCTCGCGCATTGATTCGCCGATCATCAAAGGCCGATCATCGGAGGTGTGAGGCGAAGATTCGAGCGGCAGCCGGCAGCTGGCGAGATCTCAAGCGAGAGAGGCAGCAGCGTGTCTTGCGATTCCGCTCGGGCGAGCTTAATAACTGATTTATTCGCGTGTCTCGAGTGCGACATCACAAACCGAGCGGGGCGACTCGCCGCGTCTCGGCGAGGCGACACGGCACGTTTCATCGCGCGCGCTACTCGATCTTAATAATAGAGCGATCCGAGATTGTTCTCTCCTCGCGACCTCCGCAGCGACGTCCGCTGATTTTGCGCGAAGAAACGCCCCGGCGCGCGCGACGGAAGAAACTCCCCGGCGAAGTCGTAGCTCGTAATCGCCGCGCGGGGAGGGTCTGCCAACAACCCCAATATTCCTGACAACACCTACTCACACCGGCTCGGTTCTACGACCACGCGAGCTACCATCGCGTACAGATAGAAACTCTACCTTCCCGCCCTTCTTTCGCCTTCCGTCCCCGTCGCCGTCGCCCGCCTCACCCCTCCCTCCCTCCCGCCCGCCCGCCCGCTCGCCTCGATTTCTCCTGTCTCGGCTTGTTCGCCGGAAAACCACGTCGTGCCTCGTGGATATTTCAGGGCGAGGAACGTTCCCCCATCCCCCACCCCGCCGTCACCCTCCCCTCGTCGTCGCCCTTACCGCCCACGTCGACGCGTCGGCTTCCTTCGCGGCCTTTATATTGCTCGTACACACGCGTCACGCTTTATCACTCTTGCGGGGTTATTGTCTTTCGCGTAATGGTCTACGCACGTGTACGCACAGGTGCGACGCTCCGCATTTTCTCGCGTGGGCGGCTGGAAAGCTGGAAATAATCCGGCGTGCACGCGTTCGCGCCGGTACGACCGACGGAGGAGAGAGCTGATCGTCGTCGTCGTCGTCGTCGTTATTTTATCGCTCACGGCGACACGCTTGATTTGCGAGAGAGAGAGAGAGAGAGAGAGAGACAGAGAGAGAGAGAGAGAGAGAGAGAGAGAGAGAGAGAGAAGAGCAAAGTTTGAAACTTTTTACTTGTGTCTCCGTTACCTTGCGGACCGCTCCGCTGTCCAAGGTTAATTCATTCGCGGATGCGCGCTCGTCGTACACGTCCGGTGTGTAAAGGGTTTCACGTCGAAGGACGTCGCAACCGTAGATGCCGCATGGCTGATGTCGCTCTCCCGCGAGGATGTCGATGAAAAATGATATATCGCCACGCCGCCGCCGCCGTGTTCCAATCTGTCGGCCGAGACTCTGACTGGCTGGCTGACTGGCTGGCTATCGCGATTACTCTCATTCCGAATAATTCCCAAAGACTCGAGTCCATCAAATATTAATACCCGCGCGGGCGATTTAGAGTGATTGCGGTCGCGGGGTGGATGAAGGTACGCTGCACACACCGCGGAGCAATCTCGCAAAGTCGGTGTGGGTGTGTTCGAACGTGCCACGTCTTCGTGCGGTGGAAGAAGCACGTTTTCGAGCGGCAGTCGAGGAGAGTGGTGGAGGAAACGGCAAATAAGAGGGGAAGGGGGCGAGCCGGGCGGGGGGCAGGGGAAATAAGCGATAGAGACGGCGAGGCTGAAGACGATGGTGCGAGCGGCAGGACGGCAAGGGGGACGAAAGCGGTGGAGGAAGAGAGAAAGCGAGAGTGCTGTGAATCGGAAGGGAGGTAGGACAGCGGAGGCACTGTTCGAACGAGTGAGAGACAGAGAGACAGAGAGAGAGAGAGAGAGAGAGAGAGAGGGCGAGCGGGAGGAGGCACAGGGGGAGGGAGGAGGTTATGGTTGCTGCGAAATTATTGCATATAGTCTGAATATTAAAGCGTGGCGGAGTGCTTCGTCGTGCTCCGCGGATGGTGGACGTGGAGGAATCGCGCGTCGTGCATACGCACACACACACACACACATACACACGCACATGTGTGCGCACATGCATGTACCAGACATGCATATACGCGTACGCACGAAGAGAGAAAGGGGGGAAGAGGGCAACGATGCGAGGAGGAGGAGGAGGAGGAGGACGAGGGGGAGAGAGGAGGGAGTTTAAGGGAAACGCGGAGGGAACGAGAGTGGAAGAAGGAGGGAGGACAGGTAACGCCACCGAGAGCCGCGGTGGCCGCCGGGGAAATTACGGCTCCTTCCTTACTTGCGAGAGATGTGCATAAACTCTGCATTACACCCAGTGGCGCTCATGTGAGTTACGTGTGTGTATGAGAGAGAGAGAGAGAAAGAGAGAGAGAGAGAGAGAGAGAGAAAGAGAGAGAGAGAGAGATGTGTCTGTGTGCGTCTGCTGTACGCGCGCAGTCGAGCAGTCGGGAGGTCGCGCGAAAAGCGACGCACAACGGCGTTGCCACCGAGGAGGAGGATTTCTCTCCCTCTCCCAAAAGGGTCACTCGCGTACGAGTACCTGTAATGACGGTTAGAGCTCGGAATCGGCGAAGAGCGATATCCCGTTTCGAAGATGAACCTCGGACAGACAGATAGACAGAGAGAGAGAGAGAGGCCGTTTCGAAGTCTCACCTAGTCGCGATCGACAGGCGGATCAGCTCCCGCTGGAACTCGCGCGGATTTTCGTCCTGAGGCCACGTCGTTCGCGGTGCGTCGCGTCGTGTCACAATGTCAGAAAAGCGACAAAGAAGAGAGAGAGAGAGAGAGAGAGAGAGAGAGAGAGAGAGAGAGAGAGAGAGAGAGAGAGAGAGAGAGAGAGAGAGAGACGACGCGGTCTCGGGTCGAGCGGAATGAGAGCCACCGTCGCTCGTACAGAATGCATGACTCGAAGACGCGGCGGCGGCGGCGGCCCCGAGGTCCCCTCAGTGGCGTAAGTACCCACCTCAGACGACGTTACGTCCAACTACCTCTTTCCCCGTGTTCCCTCCCGACGGCCACCCCCTTCCGCCCGTCCTTCTTCGTAGCTACCGCTACGCGCGCGCCGCCTCGCCTCCCCGCGCCCCGTCACCCCCGTCTAAATCTCCGTTGTTTATTGCAAATGGATTCCGCATCATGATGCCCGGGTGGCTGCGGGACCCTATTCAAATACCTCGTGTTTCCTCGTCAGGGCCAACTCGGTCGTTCGCTCGCCCTCTCCCGCCACCCTCTCTTTCCACCCCCGCCGTGTTTCGCCCCCCCCCCCCCGCGCGCCCCCTGCGCGGGGTTGTTATTGCCGGCGGCGTGATTGCTCTCGCTCGAGATCTTTCGAATAATTTACTTTGCACGATACCACCACGACACACACACACCTCCTCCGTCGTCTCCCTCGCCTCTCGACGCGGCCCTCGGGCCTCGATCTCCTCTTTTTCTCTCCCATTTACCTACTGCTACCCACCCACCCACCCACCCACCTCTCGCGTCTCTCTCCTTTTTTTCGTCGGGGTAATCGAGGATCGAGCGCACTCGGCCGGAAGATCAGAAAAATTGAGTGGATCCTAATACGGGAACGCGATTATCCGAATTAGCGGATCCCGCCGCGGGTTCTGGACCGATCGCTCGCGCGCTCCCCCGCGTCTTCCGTCTGACCTCCGTCTCTCTTTCTCTCCTCCGAGTCGCTAACGCGTGATCGCTACTTTCCCGAATTGCCGCGGACGCGGCTTACCGCGCTTAACCGCGTTCACCTCCTCCTCCTCCTCCTCGGATCGGCCAACTTTGGCCCCTCCGGTTTCTCTCCGCGCAGTACCGGGGGTATAGACAGAGACACCGGTGAGACGTAAAGACCACGGTGAGTGGTTAGGGAGGGGACGATACAGGAGTTTGGGATTTTCTATAAGTTGCCTATAAGTTAACTATAAGTGGCCAGAGTCCCGCATTTTTCCGACCGGGATCCGCCGCGGAGGACAGCGTGGGAAACCGAATCGTCGGCGAGAGATGGAACGGGGAATCTCTCTCGCCGTCGCTTACGAAGGGTAGCGTGCCGTTGCACCGACAGGGAGAGGAACAGAGGGAGTGAGAATGAGAGAGAGGAGAGAGAGAGAGAGAGAGGAGAGAAAGAGAGAGAAAGAGGCAGAGACTGACCTTGGTAGTTTTGCCAGAAGGCCGACGCCTGGCTGCCAATGAGATCCAGCCCGTATCCCCATGTGGGTTTCTCCGGTGTCGACGGTTGCTGGGAAGGACGCGGCACTTGCGCCTCCCGGTACTGCTGAGCCGCTGCCTGTTGCTGCTGAAGGGGTTGCTGCGGCGGCTGCTGCTGCGAGGACTGCTGCTGCGACTGCGAGTGCACCGGGCTAGCCTCCGGTGGCTCCGAACTCGTGCGCGCTTCCGCCGTGACGTTCTCTGCGTCATAGAGATAGCAGTCGCTCGATTATCGCGGTGTCCGTGACGACGATGACGACAACGACGACGACGACGTGTCCGTCTCTCTGCTAAGCCCTTCCTCTCGACGCGGCGCTCGGAGGTGCGCCGGCACTCTGGCGCTCCGGCACTCCCGACCGTCGCGACGAGCGGAGGACCCACGGGCGAGGAGGTAACTCTTGCGCGCTCTCAGGAGAGAGGAAGAGAGAGAGAGAGAGAGAGAGAGAGAGAAAAGGAGAAAAAAGACGAAAGCTTCGCGAGGTGCGCGAGAGCAGACGCAGAGAGTTCGCAAGAGGCAGTCCGCAAAATACCGTAACCATAACACACCGCCCCCCGCTCACCACGCTCCCCGCGGCGCCAAAGTGTCGGAACGACTTGCCGTTTGATTCGAAATTAGTATCGCGACTCTGGATCTGACAGGGTTAATCAGCGATACCGATGACGACGACGACGACAACGACGGAGACGGAGACGGAGACATGAGACGGTGGCGATGGCGATGGCGGCGGCGGCGGCGGTGGCAGCGACGGCGGCGGCAGCAGCAGCAACAGCAGCGACGGCGGCAGCAACGGAGGTACAAGACGAAAACGACGTGGTGGATGAGGCCGTGACGGGGGAGGGAGGGAGGGGGGAGGGAGAGGAAGAGAGAGAGAGAGAGAGAGAGAGAGAGAGGGAGAAGTAAGGGCGGAGGAAATGGGGGCCAGCATGAAACATTATATCGGGAATAAGAGATTTCACTTAAAGGGTTTCGCGTTCGAGTTTTGGTAGTGACAGCAGGGTACAGGGGTGGTGGCGTGCCGCTTGTTGCTGCTACTTCTACCGCCGGAGAAGGATCACGAGCCGTGGGAGGGGGGGGGGAACGGAGGAGGAGGGTGCAGGCGAGACGCGCGCGCGGTGTGCGCCTAGTCGCGAGACGCCGGAGGGAGGAGGAGGGGCAGCGAGGGGGGAAGAAAGCTGCCATCAGCCAGCGCCGACGACGGAGAGGGATTGCCGGCACCGCCGGCAGGGGGATAAGTAAGGAATCATATTCTGCCGGGTGTCAGGCTGTTTGCTCTGCCTCGGCGTATTAATTAATTTATTCCGAGATCACCAGTGGGGCCCCGGGGCTCTTAACGGCGAAACTAGCGACGAGCTCGCGAAATCCCGAGAAAACCCGTTCATTTGCTGCTGCGATGGTCCCTCTCTCTCTCTCTCTCTCTCTCTCTCTCTCTTCCCTCTAGTCCTTTTTTCTTTCTCCCTCGGTCCCTCCCTCTCTTTCTCGAACGCGCCGCAAAGTCCCGGCGACGGTGGTAGCTTGCCGCGACACACCGAGAGGGTTCTCGCGCGTCGTCGACGCGCGCGACTACCGTCCTCGGTGATCTCGGGGTGACTCCGTCGTGAAGGTCTCCCCGCGCGTGGAGAAGAGGGTGTTTCCGCCGTACGTACCTGTGATCGCTCTGACTTGCTCGGAGGATGCTCCCGTGGCTTTGAGCGCCTCCTCCAGTTGTGTGCGCCTCTTGACTTCCAGGTCCAGCTGCTCCTGCAGCCGTTTCCTCGCTCTCCGTTCCTTCTTTAACCGCTTCTGGTAGACCACTGCAACGGAAAGCAGAGAGACGGCGGGATGAGCGCGATTCGCAAGGTCATTCCGCGCGACGCCGGCCGGCGTCCAGGACGCGCCGCGGACTCGGTATCGAGATATCTCGGGGTGTAAAACTTGACGGGGAACACGCGCCGAGTCCTCGTCCCCCAGGTGGCGGAACCCCGGCGTGGTCAGAGTCCGAGGGAATTATCCTGGCGTATCATTCTACCGCGGGGGGCTTCACACCGAGCGCGCGGCGGGCCCCGAAACTCAAAGTACACGTCTAAGCGGGGGTCCGATCGTCTCGTCAGCTACCGTGCGCGGATCCGACGGTAGCCATGGCCGAGTCGAATCGTCCATCGATTCTCCGCCGTGAGTCACGCCGCTGAGAAGATGCAGCGCCGGGGCTCGAAGCTGTCGGACTCTTGCGAGAGCGCGACCGGCTCGGCGTTCTTATCTCGATATCCCCTCCACCTCCACCTGACTTTGCGAATTTGCAATAATTTTTTAAAAACCTCTCTCGATCGAATCTGACCGACTCAACTTTGCCGAGAGCGGCGGCCTGCAAGTGACAAATTGTGCGTCTCTGAAGTCCCACTCGAAGGCGCTGAGTGGGACTTGAACTTCGCTGTGAATTATAAACGAATTCTCTTCATTGCTCCTGCGGAATCTTTCGGGCTAAAGATCGGGCGAAAATCTCCCAACTCGCGTACGCGCGGCGAGACAGTTGGGGCGGAGGGGGGAGAGGGCGGAGTGCGAGCGCGTTGTTATCGATGATGTTTGAAGCGCTGACGCAAGCCGTTAGGCGCGCGAGACGTTGCGCAGCGACATGCTTTATCCGCCATTAGTTCGACGCGGCGCATAATGTGGAGCGCATGGCCCAATTGACGGATTCTCAGTCTAGCGTAAAATTCCTCTCGCCTCTCGTACGCCGCTCTCGAGATCGCGCGCACGCGCGAGCGACACGATTGCGCTCCAGAAAGAGAGAGAGAGAGAGAGAGAGATCTCGATCGGCAGCGCCGCGACGTTGCGTGTAGCTCCTCGTTACTCGTCGCTTTCGCGTCTATCAATCTCGCTCGTCCTCACCCTCAGAGTCCTTCTGCATTTTCCAAGTCCCGCTCTCCTCCGCGCGCCGCCGACGTGGCGCGGGCGGACGTGGCGCGCGAAGTCAATCCAGCGTGATGCGTACACACAAATTTGCGTCGGGAGTCTCTCTCTCTCTTTCTCTCTCTCTCTCTCTCTCTCGCACCCACACGTACACATGAGCGCGCGCGCGCGCGTTAGGCTACACGTAGGAGAGCGCGCATTCGACACGGCGACGGTCGTGCACAGGGCCCGATGCGCTTGTACATGCAGGCCGATCAGTTTGATCGGTCGAGTCCCGTGTCGGCGTCTTTGAACGGCTTTCTCCCTCTGGCCGCTTTAATTATTTTCCGTCATTGTGAACCGCCGCGTCCGGCCATTGTATCTTGGCCGGGCGCATCCCGGCCCTCGACACTTTCGACTCGATCTCTCTCGCGAACTCCGGCTTTGTTGTCGACGGTCCTGCCTTGATCGCTCCTCGGGTCCTCGTTGCGGTCCGAGTTCGACGAATAATGGCGCGGCGCGCCGCCGCGCCGCGCCGGTCTGACCGTCGCTCGAGACACGTTGACCGGTTCTTGCGCGCGTTCGATTCCCGCGAAAAGGCACCTCGGGGCAAAAAGATTAGGACTCGATCGGGAGCGAGAGCGCTGGCGCGCCCGGCTCGATTCGGCCGACGTGGAAGCGGGAGGCCGACGACGATGGCAGATACAGACAGACGGCAAGACGTTGCGCTGGACATGGGGAAAAGTCCGTGACATTTGGCCCTTTTCCCCTCGGCTTCCTCTTCGACATCGGTAATACACGCGCGCGCGCGCGCGCACGTCGGCCTCGAGATGGATCTGTCGCGATTGCTCTCTCGCAGCTCGCAGTCTCTCGGCGCAAGACGGTAGCTACTCGCGTTCCCTCGGCTTAACATTGCCCTACCCTGACAGGTAAGACGGTAGCGCGAGGCGTAGCGTACCACGTCGCCGTGGGCGTCCTCGAGCACGACGACATTACCTTCCCTCGTGCGCGCGCGCGCGCGCGCGAGCGCGGCGGTATAGCATGGAGATTAGGCACGCGGATTTAATCGCCCTACTCGCGTCATTTCTGGAACGGTAATCAGAGATCATATTGCTGGCGTGGAAGTAAATCGTCGAGCGAGAGCGCGCGCGCGCGCGCGCAAAGAGGTATCCATCCACTTTAGATGCAAATGTATTTCTTATTCGGCCACCGGCATCGCGCCAGAATATCATACTTATTCTCTCGGATCGCTGCGAGTGCGATCAGACCAGACGGAACACACGTGATCGTCGCCGTCGTCATTTCTGTCGCACCTGCGCGCGCGACACCTCTCCGAAATTGGAGGAGTCTCGCGCGCCACTCTCGAGAGCTGCCTCTCGGGAGCGAGAGCGAGAGCGAGAGCGAGAGCGAGAGCGAGCGCGAGAGTCGCGAGAGAACGAAGGTGCGAAACAACGGCGGATGCCGAGTCGACTCTGCGGTCGTACAGCCACAGGTATCGCGATCCTATCGATCCCGTCTCTCTCGCAGGTGGCCACCGGTTGAGCATCACTGATACGTGATTGATTCCCGGCAGACAAGGCGCAGACAACCCCTTCGTCCCCTCTACCTCTTCGCCATGGCCGTGCCCCTCCTTTTCCTCCCTGCCTCTATACCTCTCCGTCTCCCTCTCGCGCACTCTTCTCCTTATCCACTTTGGCATAACGCGCCTCCGAGACGTTTCTCTTCGTCCCTTTTCTTTCGCTCTCTCTCTCTCTCTCTCTCTCTCTCTCTCTCTCGCGCTCTCTCTCTCGCGCTCTCTCTCTCTCTTTCTCTCTCTCTTTCTCTCTCTCTTTCTCTCTCTCTCTCTCTCTCTCTCTCTCTCTCTCTCTCTCTCTCTCTCTCTCTCTCTCTCTATCTCTATCTCTCTCTCTATCTCTCTCTCTCTCTCTCTCTCTCTCTCTCTCTCTCTCTCTCTCTCTCTCTCTCTCTCTCTCTCTGTCGTCTCTTTCTCCTACGCCGAGCGAAACAAGGGTGGAGAGAAAGTGGGAGAGGGTGGGGGCGGGAGACGAAGGGGAACGCGGCGGAGGGACGGCGGCAGGGAGGAAGAAGGGGGCAGACTTCTCAGTGACGGGAGAGGCGGGGAGGGACGGGAGGAGAGGAGAAAGAGAGAGAGAGCGCGCGAGTGAGAGAGCGAGAACAGCGCCGGGGTACGGGGGGACAGCATTATGATGCAAAGATGGCGCGGCGGCGGCACCCTAGAATTAGCTCGAGCACTCGCCATTGGCCGCTCGGCAAACCACTCCTTCAGTAACAACCGACTGCATACGTTGCATACTAAGGATACACGCGAGCCGGCAAAGAATTGCCCCGAATGGGGCTGCTCTCTCGGGCCCGACGTCGTCCACCTACGGTGTGCCGGCCAGGACGAAGACTGTGTATATCGCTCTCTCTGTCTCTCTCTCTCTGTCTCTCCTCTCTCTCCTCTCTCTATCTTGCCCGAATCGCGACGAAGGACGATCCTTTTTTTTCCTTTGTCCTTCTCTCTTTCTCTTCCTCGACGGCCGAACAGTTGCGTGAGGACCTCGCGTTGCTGGTCCCCGCGGTTATAAATTTAGACACGATATCCCCGTCCCCGTCCACATTGTGTACGCCGATGGCCGGCCACGTTGTTTCGATTCTCGCCCGAAACGCAGACCAGGTGGAAACACTTTGCTCGCGATTGTCCCGCAACTGTCGTCCTGGTCGTTTGCATCGCCCCCGCGCACACGTGTGGTCCGGCGAAGCCGTGAGAGAGAGAGAGAGAGAGAGAGAGAGAGAGAATGAGAGAGAGAAGCGGAAGGTGTGTAGTAGTCCCTCGAACCGATGGTCTGAGCGACAAACTCGAAGAGATTGCGTGCTTTCACACGCGCGTTAATCGAGACGCGCCGCAACGGCCGCGCAAACTCGACAGAAAACCCCGACACGGTGCGTTCCTCGAGAGAGGTACCAATCGAGCGGCGATGACGACGACAGCGGGCCTGTGGATCGACGAGAGAGGAGGAACTGGTAATTTGATGCTAGCGGATACGAGAGAAAGACAAAGAGAGAGGGAGAAAGAGGGGCAGAGAGAGAGAGAGAGAAGGAGAAATTGTACGGGTCTGGGATAGAGTGTTGAAGATAGCTGGGCGCGGATGATGCTGCGCGGGGGTCTAAGGTTAGGGATGATTCCAGAGTCACGGTCGCACGATCTCGCTCTCGCTCCGAGACGAGACGCGAGAATATCGCGGACAATACTTTGCCGGCCGCGAAAAACGCTCCACGACTTGTCCCTCTCTCTCTCTCTCTCTCTCTCTCTCTCTCTCTCTCTCTCTTTCTCTTTTCTTCCTCTTCTCCATCCTTCTCCTCCTCCTCCTCCTGCTCCTCGTCCTTCTCTCGGTACTTGGCCTTTTTGCGCGTTACCTCGCCTTGGATGTAACTGCGGCGGCGTAACTTCTTTCCCGACCAAATCGAGTCGTGTCGGAGCTCTCTCTCTCTCTCTCACTCTCTCTCACTCTCGCTCTCGCTCTCGCTCTCGCTCTTTCTTTCCCGGTCGTTGGAAGCGCTGCTGGTGAGCCGGCCTATCGGCCATCATCGGCCGAAGATTTCAACGCAACACCCTTTTCCTCGCGTCATCGTCGTGAACACGTCGTCGACGAGCTGAAAGCTCCGCTCGAATCTCGGCTGCGTTCTCTCTCTCTCTCTCTCTCTCTCTCTCTCTCTCTCTCTCTCTCTCTCTCTCTCTCTCTCTCTCTCTCTCTCTCTCTCTCTCTCTCTCTCTCTCTCTCTCTCTCTCTCTCTCTCTCTCTCTCTCTCTCTCTCTCTCTCTCTCTCTCTCTCTCTCCCCCTTTCTATCTCGACGAAACAGTCCCATCCGCGCGCATCTGCTTCTTATGTATCTCGCTCGATCTTAATTAGCCTCAAGCGCGTGTAATCGCATACGGCCTATGCGCGCCGTATGTCATCCAGCGTTCCACGCTCGTGCTTTGAGCGCGGCGTCGAGCGATCTATCGTATCCACTTATCTGTCTCTCTATATCCGACTATCGTTCGGAAAGCACTTTTATTTCGAATCTCGCAGAGCCTCGCGGCGATTTCACTTGGTGAACGAGACCGCGTGCGTGCTTG